GTGCCAGCCGGCATTATCGAATTAGCATTTGTTTCTTAGTTACGGGCGTTTTGGTAGTGCATTACACCGACCCTCCTGCGATTTCGGACTGGCGTGTGCATCAAATTTTGCCAAAGACTCGCCAAAACGGCTACGGAAACCTGTGAAATGCTAAAGCAAGCATTTGGGGAGTCCGCAATGGGTCGTGCACAAACTTTTGTGTGGCATTCACGTTTTAAAAATGGCCGAACCTCTGTCGATGATGACGAGCGTTCTGGACGACCATCTTCGAGCGCAACGCCCGAAAATGTTACGAAGATTCGGCAGGGCATTCACGAAGATCGACGTCGTACCATTAACGACTTATGCGACATTGTTGGGATAGGCTATGGGACCTGTCAGCTGATTCTAAAGGAAGAACTCCACATGCGACGCATCATGACAACGCACCAGCGCACACCGCCTTCAAAGTTCGGCAGTTTTTGGCCTCAGACACCATGGCCGTCATCCCACACCATCCTTATTCGTCGTGTGACTTCTTCCTCTTCCCAAAGTTGAAAATTCAGCTAAAGGGAAGGAGATTTGAGACGATAGAAGAGATTCAGGCAGAATCGCAGATGGTGCTTGACAGGCTGACAAAGAAAGATTTCCAGGGATGCTTCCAGGCTTGGAAGCGGCGCTGGGATCGTTGTGTTCACTCCCAGGGGAACTACTTCGAGGGTGATGGATGAATTTAATACCTGAGATAAGTGTACGGGTTTTTATACGCGCAGTCTGGAAACTTCCGATCGCACCTCGTATATCGAATTTTATGTAAATGCGTCTAGTGGTTCTTGATTCGAATCTTCGAACGGACTTAAAGACGGACATAACCAGCCCCAGCGTTCATTCATTTTATGAACGTAGTGCAAACAATACACAAGAAATTTTGTTCCTGCAGTTTCATGGAATATTTAAGTATACAAAGACTGTTGCGACATAATACAATTAAGATGAAAGATAATAACACTTCGTATTTTGTAATGATGTGAGGGAACATATTGCTTAATGACTTAGTTGCAAAATAAAACATTTCTAGGTCAGTAACCGCTTACAATTCTGTTCTACTTCAAGAACCAAGAGTAAACTTGCTTAATGTTTTCTGCTAGAACAATACAAAATCTGTGACGCTTCGATCATCACTGGTGACCAAACGCATGTAATTTTCAACTGTATGACGGAATTTAGGATGGCGTTCTTTTTACCGTACGTATAGCGAAGTTAAATACCTTTGTACATGCTGTAAATATGACATCGTGTCTCCAATTTAGACCGTTTTCTATTAGAGTAGTATATTATAATAACGAGCTAAATAAAATGGATTATGAAATACAATTAAAATATTAAGACCGGGTTCTATTTTAGGTATTCCAAAAATTGTTGTGAAAATTTCCGGAGCTTGAAGGCTAATCACTCATCATCTATTTCCCCGATTAAAAAGCGTGGAATTACTACTCCACTCCTTCATACGTCTTAATGCCAAGTACAACTTTATCGCTTACCATTGAATACTTCGTAATTTCTAACTAACTAACTAACTAGATGGCTTACCGAACCCGAAGGTTCATCACCGAATTAACCAAAGCCCTCCACCGGACCCT